TTGTTGTGATTGAAAATTATGATCATAAAATTCCAGTTACTTTTTATTACAAAGAGATTACCTGTGAATGGAAGCTTGAAAGTTTTGGTGAAAAAAAATATGTGCAGAAAAAAAGGGTGTTGTGAGTTGAATCTAGCATTATTATTGCTGGTAAACAGCTTAGTTGTCCATGCATATTCAGATGGGTTCTATTATTTATGCTATCAAGCTGCGATTCAGGAAATCTTCTGCTTGGTATCTTGTTCTTTAAAAAAGCTAGTGCCAAAGATGCTTGCTTTTGTAGAGTGGGCTATGGAAACCTTTTCTTGCTTGTGATTTTTTATGCCTTAAAACCCATTTGCCTGGGAGCATTCAATATCTCCATGTATCATTGTTTTTATCTGCACATGTTATCGTCTGTTTTGTTAGACCTCTTTTCTGCATGTACATGCATGATAATGACATTTTCTCCTCTGCTTTTCTATCCTCTTTCTGTCATGAATATATATTTTGTTACAGGGAAAACAAGAATCTCACAGGCACGGCTCGCTATGCTAGTGTTAATACCCATCTTGGAGTTGGTGAGTGAACTAATTATACCTATAAGATGGCTGTTGGATGTTGCTAGAACATACCGTGCTTTATGCTTGATGATCTTATTATTATGCCATTCTTGCAGAGCAAAGCAGAAGAGATGATCTGGAATCTCTTGGTTACGTGCTTATGTATTTTTTGAGGGGAAGGTGAAGAACTTAATTGACTTGCTTTATGCTCCTATTTTAATCATAATATATGTTTGATCCTTTTTCTTTGGTGATTTCCTTGTTTCAGCCTTCCATGGCAGGGCTTGAAAGCTGGCACTAAAAAACAGAAATATGACAGGATCAGTGAAAAGAAGATGCTTACTCCCATAGAGGTACCGTCATTCGCTTTTGCAAGCTGCTTGCTCCAAGCACTGTTTTTTTATGATGTAGTATACTGTCTATGATCACAATGGAAAAAATATGTAAATAATAGCTTGTCTTCATCTAAGTATTAAATGGTCATCATGCTTGCAGGATATGAAGTATTGATGGTTACTTTGCAGGTCCTTTGCAAAAACTATCCTTCAGAATTTACATCTTACTTTCATTATTGCCGTTCACTGCGATTCGAAGACAAGCCAGATTATTCATACCTGAAGAGACTATTCCGTGACTTGTTTATTCGAGAAGGTTTACTCATGCTCCTGAATATTTGATGCTTTTAATTATTGTTCACTTGTTATCTATGATTTTAAATATGTTGCTGGAATTCTAAATTCAATTGTTAGTTTGGAGTTCTGCCCAATTTTAGAACCTAATCTAGGTTTCTAAACTGTTGCAGGTTATCAGTTTGATTATGTATTTGACTGGAATATATTGAAGTACCCGCAGATTGGCTCCAGTTCTAGATCACGAGTTAGTATCCCTTAATTTGTTGTGGCTCATTTATGTAGAAAAATATTTTTTAATGTGTCTTTCTTATATTCTTGATTCCTTTTCTTCTTTTGACAGCTAAGTGGAAAACCAGCTGTAAACCCAGGACCATCCACAGAAAGAGTAGAATGGCCTTCAGGTCTTTTCTGATTTTTTGTTAAGAATTTTGAAAACAAATTTTCTTTTTTTGTTATTGAAATGCAGATGAATGTCTAGGCTATTTATCTTAAGTGTTAATGGGTAATTAATTTGCTGATCTGTTTGGTATTCCCTTGCATGGCTTTAATATGTAGTGGGGCATTACTTTTGGTACTATTTTGTTAACCCCCTCACCTCTGTCAAAAAAAGAGAAGATTCCTAAGCCAGTTTCTCATGTTTGACTTGACACAATTTTATTTCGGTCAAGTAGGCCAGGAAACCCGAGACAGATTCTCTGGTGCAGTTGAAGCATTTGCTCGAAAGAAGAGCACTGGACATGCTATGCACAGTGATCGGTCCAGGCACAGGTCCTCGGATGATGTGCCATCATCAAAGGACGTGGTGAGTAGTGCAAGAGAAATTATGTATCTTTTAACTTTGTTGAGTTGCTTGACCTTTTTTCCTAAATTTTAACTTCACAACTGGCTGCTATTTTTTTACCTGTTCCCCTCCCTTTAGCAGCATCCTGATTCAGAAAGGCCCCGGTCATCTTCTCGAAATGGCAGCACTTCAAAGAGGGCTGTAATTTCAAGCAGCCGGCCAAGCTCTTCTGGTGAGCCTAGTGAGAATAGGTCAAAAAGCCGGCTGGCCTCAAGCAGTGGTCGCCTGTCAACAACCCAGAGGATTCAACCTGGGCTTGAGTCAAAATCATCTTCCTTTAGTCGTGCTCTAGCCACAAGAGGTGGTCGTGATGATGCACTCAGGAGCTTTGAACTCCTGTCTATTGGAAGAGGAAAGAGGAAATAAGCACTACATCTGTCTGGCAAGAAGATTTGCTTGTGTAAGGAGTCAGGATTCCCTTGCGAATTTCTATCAGGGTCGGGACTGCAATGGTTGAGTTGCCAGTTGCTCTGTATATTCATGCCCACTATCAGGTTCCCTTACATGCAAAAGATCAGTGAATCCTCTCCTTGGAAGACGGGCACTCACCTTGTATCTCTCTCCGGGGGATTTGCCATTCACAGGCGAGCGAGCTCATTCATAAAAGAGAAGAATCATTTCGCGGTAGGAGTTGTTTATATATTTGAGATGCTTGTAGCTCTAATAAATACTTGTGTTTCTATGTAGAAGAAGAAAACCTTACCTAATAGACTAAGATGAACTTAGGCCATCCTCCTGGATGGTTGGTATTAATTACTCTCTACTTCATCCATTTAAATTAGAACACATATTGACTGATAATGGTGGTCTGATTCTTATTATAATTTTTATATATTGTTTCTATATTCTTCAAGATCATTTATATTAATTTTAAATTGATTGTTTAAGGTTGTGACTGCGTGTCTTTTTAATATATATATATTATTTTTAGCATTAGCATATCAAGATTATTAATGTACTAAAAAATATTTTTTAAAATTAAAAATATTTTAAAAGCATACGATCTTTTTTATGGTGCGCCAACAAGAAGAGAGGTCAATTCAACAATGAATGTGTTAGGGCAATCTATCACCTTGCCTGGAAAGAAATCCACGATAAAATTGAATTTATTTCTATTTAGAATAAACTACAAAAAAGAAAAACGAACAACCATTATAGATTTATCATAAAAGAGAAAATGTTGGGTTTTAACTGAAGCTTCTAGCCTGATATTTGTGAATCTGTTGCATGAAGTACGGAGAGTGATAAAATTAAAAGCTTGAAGCATAGTTTAAAAACCTGATTTTATTCTTCAGTCAATCTGTAACCTAACTTATTAGGGGTTAAAATCAGGTCAGGTTAAAAAAATAATAAAAAAAAGTTAAAATTTATAAAAACCCTGGGCTGATATGATAAAAAAAAAAACTAGTTATAATCCCTCAATTATTTATTTTTTTAATAAAATAATATTATTTTGATTTATAAGAATAAAAAATTAAAATTGATTTAATAATATAACAAAAACTTTTAAATCAGGCCTCGAGCCTTGCCGGTTTTAAAAACTCTGGTTCGAAGGCCAGAGAAGTTAAAAATGCATGGCTTTTTTAGGTATAGATTATTTTGAACATGGAATCATCATTGATAGGATGATGTATTGACTATATTGTAATTGAAAAATAATAATAGAAAATATAGTATATTATAGTTTTTTCACATTTCAATATAAAAAAGTGAAGCATAAAATGATGTGGCTAAGTGTAGGCTCGCAAATATCAAACGTAGCATGTAATTAAATATTTGAATTTTTTTTAATGATTTGTTTGGATATTGTTACCCAGTACTCCTGCAATGGTTCTAACCTGGACGGAGGCAGGCAGGATGAGGAGTTAATGACGTGCTTGATTCTTGAGAACCTTGCCAAAACTGGCATCAAATTAATTTTACAAGATTTAATTAACTGTGGTTGCTAAATTGCTTTTGCGTGCTAATTAATGCAATCAATGATATTAGCAAACATTATCTGCTGTGAATAAATGGTTAAAAATAATAATCACAATGTGGCGAGTGTCTGAGCGCAATTAAATGATGTCATCCTAAATTTACTGCGTTAAATGTTGTGTCTATTTTTTTAATATATATATATATATATATATTATCTTGAGAATGCATATAGTTTTATTCTTAATTAAGAACTTTGTAGCTGTTCCTGAAGAGCCAGCAATCCCTGTATTCTTCCTTCTGTTATAGATTCTTATTAATCAAAAAATCAGTGATTTGATTTCATTATTGGAAGGAAATCGGAAGGGTAGATTCTAGGCTTTAATTGTCATCGACAGGGAAAGAAATAGCGAGTGTGGTTTTGGGGATGACTGAAAGTATGTCATTGATAGGGTTATTATTTTTTTTTTTTTTGGTTTTTATTAAAAAAATAAAATTAATTTTTTATTATTTTAAAATACCTAAAATCAAACTAAAACTGGTTTAAACTGATTTGATTCAGTTTTTTTAGTTTGACTTATATTTTTCTGGTTTGGCTTGAATTTTTCAATTTGACTTTTTTTTTTGTTTCAATTCGATTTGATCTTTTTGATTTTATGATTATAAATTGAAACTGAACCGAACCAGTCTGTTTTTTAAAAAGTTTAATTTGTTTTTTTTATGGTTTGATTTTTTTAATATTTTTACTTACCTTTAATTAGTAGTTGTTTTTTAAAATATTTTTTATTTTAAAATATATTAAAATAATATATTTTTTATTTTTTAACAAATATTTTTAATATTAAAACATTAAAATAATTTTAAAATATTAAAAATAATTAATTTTAAATTAAAAAAAAACTTAGCACACGGTATTCTTCTTTTATCTTTACCCCAGAAAAAGAAGAAAAGAAAGATGATGATAGTAATCTGAAAAGAAATGGAAACTTCATAAGATCTTGCTAATCGTCGGTGACATATATTTTGGTGCCTTTCCATATTATGACCGGACGATTCCCTCGTGTTTTTCACAGAAGATTCTCAATAAATGTAATTATATTAATTTATAACTTTTCCTTAATGCTCTCGATTTTAATTCCATCTGTAGCCTTTGCGCTTATATTTCTTCAACAGAGTTGTGAAATCGTCCCTCTCAAACCTTTCCTGCTTTCATAATTCCATTCCCTTAATTAGCCCCCCTCCTCTGCATTTTACAATGACGAGAGAATTTATATAGCATTAAATTGCTCGAATCTATGCTGTATTCCTTTTGCAGAGACAGAACAATGCTAGCAAATTTAATTCCATGCCTGCTCCTTGCATTACCAAACCAAAGCAACCAGATTACCCACATATAAGTAGGTGTATGCGACCCTATGGTCCAAGATGTACTTGGATTGTCTCTCTTTCTCCTTGCAGGTTTCTTCACGGCATAGAGCCTCTGTTTGCTGTCATATTCGATTGTATGGCTGGATTTGGGTGGAGCTTGAGGCATGGACATGGGTCTAAAAGGCCATTAACTCCTTCCCAGATCGCTTGTCGAATATGTGATCATGTGTTTTCGAGCACACAAGCTCTCATATCCCATATCGAATCTCACACGGTCGAGGAACGAACTGCCTTGAGAAGACAGAATGGCCTAAGCCTCTTTTCCTCCTCCCATGCAGAACCTTTTGCCAGCCCATTCAGTTTTAGCCTTTCGACTCCTACTCGTCGGCCACAAACTGGGCCACTCGGCCGAAATCGCTATAATTTTCCTTCCTCGGCAGAGAGAAAACATGTCTTCAGTGACAGGAGGACCCCACAAAATCTTGTTTCAGGCGCCAAACCATTTACTCCACGAGCACAACTTTCACGGGTGCCGAGGAACAACAAGTACGCAAGTGTTGGGTCTCAACATATACCTTTAACCTTTCAGGCACAGCCCAGAGTGATCGATGAACCTCGCGATATTCACTTCACCAAGCCGTTTCTTCAACAATTGGAGAGACCCTTCTCCTCCAAAGCCAGATTCCAAGAGAGCAATGGTCACCGTAGGAGTAAATCACATGTGGAAACGCTGGATTTGACTTTGAAGCTGTAGAACTTGATGAGGGGGGAATATACCCATGCAAAAACCAAAATCAGGACATTCATGCATTTCATTTAATTTCACTTACCAAAAAAAAAAAAAAAGGGACAGTTTTCCTTCGATCGAATGATTGTTCATACCATATTTTATTTTTGTTGCGCTTTAATTAATTATATTTCATTTCAGTCATTATACAGAGGACTTCCATCTTCTTGTTTTCCATGGGCTCTTCCGTCATGAATGTTTTAATATATACTATAATGGAAATTAATCTAAATTTTGTTTCGTAATTTTAGGGTAGAAATTTATTCTACGGGGTTAAATCCTAATTAAAAAAAAAAAACTAAATGATGTGGTGATTTTATTGATCACCAAGAGAGAAAACATCATTAATTGTAATAGCATTCCATAGGAACTCCCTTAATTTTTTCTCAATTTATTTATTTAAGGTTGCATTTATTTAGAATTGAGTTTGGGTTTGTTCTTACTGCCTAAGTTATTGGATCTTAAAGTGTCAAGAAAAATTTTTATTACTCAATTGATGGTTGATTTGGTAAAATTAAATAAAATATTATTAATTTAAAACAATTCAAGTTTTAAGAACTGAATTTAAATAATAAATAAATATTTAAACTTTTTTTTTGCTAGCATCAAAGAAATAATAGATAAATATTTAACCCCTTTCTCTTTCAAGCATCATAGACTAAATTGCATATGCAAGGGAAAGGTTCAATTCCTTCTTTTTGTCACTTAATTTTATTTTTCAATATGATCCTTTTACATTAAATTTATTTAGAACTAGAATTAATAATTTTTTCGAGTTACCTAGATATGTGAATTTCATGATGTCAAGAAAGAATTCTAGAGAGCCATTGATGCTTGATTTTGCATAATAAAATTCAAATGTTATTGATCTAAAATAATTAAGGCTTGAGGGATAAAATTTAAAACTTAAAAAACAATAGCATGGAAAAGTGAGTGAGCAGAGAAAAAGTGGCTGACACGAGGTATGTATGCATCAACATGTGAAGAAAGTCACCGTACTCTAGCAATGCCCGTGACTTCCATTGGTGTCAAAATTCCACCTTTTTTGGTGGAGCTAAAAATGTCCTGGCGAGACCTTATGGGAGATGCAACGGGTGTAACATTTGGAGGCACATGGAGTTTCCTTTTTCCTTTTCTTTTATTTTCTTCTCCTATCTCTTTTATCTACTAAATTCTTGGTTTTCATGTTGTTTATTTTCAAAATAGAAAGGTGTCCTGTTATTTTATTTTTATGTCAAATTTTATGTTCATTCTTTTGGTTTTCATTTGTTTTGTTTTCAATTTTTTTAATTGTTTTTTTCTCAATCTCATCCCTTAGCATTAGGATGACTAGGAATCGAGTTTCATGATTTTTTATATTTTACATTCTAGGAGGCAATCCCAACTTTGTGAACTGAGTTGTGAGTTTGGATGGTCAACTCGAGTTGACTTCAGTCTTTTTAAGGTTATTTTATAATATTGGCTCTTTTTTTTTCTTCAATTTCATCCTTCAATCTTGGGGTTAGTTAAGGATTGAGTTTTGTGATTCTTTTTTGGCTTTCATCTTTATGGGGTTATTTTAATCTCATGATCTTGATTGCAGATTTGATAAGTTAGCTCAAACTGATCCGAGTCTCTTTTTTCCATTATTTTTTTTAAAATTGATTTTTTTTAATTTTATCTTTTAACACTGGATTGACTTTTAATTAAGCTTTTTTTTTTTTTATGGATTCATCC